ATGCATATATCTGATATCTATCTATCTATCTATCTCTGTTCTTATCTATCTATATATTCATATATCAATCTATCTGTCCTAATATGTTCATATCTATCTATCTATCTATCTATCTATCTATCTATCTATCTATCTATCTATCTATCTATCTATCCTAGTTCAAATAATGTTTAATTCTGAAGATGAGAGAGAGAGAATGAGAGAAAGATACAAAATGTCTAGCCTGGAGAGAGAGAGCTTGAGACTAACTCGCGCCTGAAGATAGTGACAGAAATGCAAACCTGAAGCGATGACAGTCGATATCATTATTGGGAAAGTTAAAATCCACCTTTTAAAATACAGTGTAAACCTGGATATAAGAGTCCCGGATAATTAAACCCGGGAAATCTGGTCCCAAATTAGAGCCTGTGTTAATGTATATAAAATAGACCAAACCCGGGATGGAAATGTTACACTGTGAATTATTTTTTCCTTAATTATATTCTAAATTTTAAGTATTTTCATTTTTTAAAAAAAAAAAAGGTTGGCGAGCCGAAAAACCAATCAATTAAAATTAAAGTGAACATGTATTAACAGATTTAAAAGCAACAAAATTCTCTCATGGAATATAATGTTCATTATTATAAAGCCTGCCATTCATGCGTGGAAGAAAACCATATTTTGTATGATAAATGTTATGATCTACTAACGCTTTCCCGCGGGTTCTCTCCCGGGAACAATGTCTAATAGGCTTGCTTTGCAGATATTTCGATTTTATAAAATGAACGTTCAGTTGAAAACAGACAAATGTACTGTTTTTATGCAGAACGCGTGTTTTGTCCTTTATGGGAATGCGTCCTCGGCCTTTTATTTTGCGAGCGGAGATATCACGAATTATCCATCCATCCATCTATCTATCATCTATCTATCTATCTATCTATCTATTCATCTATCTATCTATATCTATTTCTGTTCATGTATCAATCTATCTGTCCTAATATGTATGTATCATGTATGTATATGTATCCATCTATCAATCTATCTATGCTCCTCTACAAATCTATGTATATATCTGTCTCTCTATCCTAATCTCATTCATCTATCTATCTATCTATCTATCTAGCCTACTCTCTACAAATCTATGTATATATCTGTATCTCTACATATCTATATCTATCTATCTATCTATCTATCTATCTATCTATCTATCTATCTATCTCATCTATCTATCTGTCCTAATATATTCATATCTATCTATCTATCAAAATCTATGCATCTATCTATCGTACTCTCTACAAATCCATGTATATATGTATCCTACTATCTATCTATCTATCTATCTATCTATCTATCTCTGTTCTCTATGCATATATCTATATATTCATCTATCAATCTATCTATCCTAATATGTTCTTATCTATCATTCATATATCATATCTATCTATCTAATATGTTCATATCTATCATTATCTATCTATCATCTATCTATCTATCTATCTATCTATCTATCTATCCTAGTTCAAATAATGTTTAATTCTGAAGATGCAAATATCAATTGTAATACTGAAATATATATATATATATATATATATATATATATATATATATATATATATATATATATATATAATATCAGAATGAGATAACGGCTCTCAACAAAGATACAAAATGTCTAGCCTGGTCAGTCCCTAGAAGGGTGACCGCTTGAGACTAACTCGCGCCTGAATCTGCGTATGGTGTAATTGGCAACTACTTGGAAATGCAAATCTCTGAAGCGATGACAGTCGATATCATTATACACTTGGGAAAGTTAAAAATCCACCTTTTATTAATACAGTGTAACCTGGATATAAGAGTCCCGGATATAAGAGAAACCCGGATATAAGAGTGATTTTATCTGGTCCCAAATTAGAGCCTGTGTTAATGTATATAAAATAGACCAAACCCGGATATAAGAGACTTCTTCTCCGGTCCCGACAACTCTCTTATATCCGGGTTACACTGTAGAACTTGTTTCAATAAATCATTATTACCTTAAAGATATTCATAAATAAATATTTTCCGATTTTAATCACCTTTAAAAAAAAGGTTGGCGAGCCGAAAAAAACCAATCAATCACTTCATATTGAAATTATTATTTGTTTTCTATCAGTGAATAAAATCATCGATAGTATTAACAGATTTAAAAGCAACAATTAAACGATTTTCTATTGATCAAAGAATTCTCTCGTATGGAATATAATGTTCATTATTATAAAGCCACTAAAAGTGTATTTGGTGCGTGGAAGAAGAACCATATTTTAGACGATAAATGTTATGATCTACTAACGCTTTCCCGCGGGTTCTCTCCCGGGAACAATGTCGCTAATAGGCTTGCTTTGCAGAGATTTCGACTGTAGTAAAATGAACGTTGTAGTTGAAAACAGACAAATGTACTGTTGTGTGTGTGCGTGTGTGCAGAACGCGTGTTCACGTGTCCTTTTATTGAATGGGAATGCGTCCTCGGCCTTTTATTTTGCGAGCGGAGATATATACGCTATTTTTACGAATGAATTCGATCCATCCATCCATCTATCTATCTATCTATCTATCTATCTATCTATCTATCTATCTATCTATCTATCTATTTCTGTTCATATCTATCAATCTATCTGTCCTAATATGTATGTATGTATGTATGTATGTATGTATGTATGTATCTATCTATCTATCTATCTATCTATGCTACTCTCTACAAATCTATGTATATATCTGTCTCTCTATCCTAATCTCTACATATCTATCTATCTATCTATCTATCTAGCCTACTCTCTACAAATCTATGTATATATCTGTCTCTCTATTCTAATCTCTACATATCTATCTATCTATCATCTATCTATCTATCTATCTATCTATCTATCTATCTATCTATCTGTCCTAATATATTCATATCTATCTATCTATCTATCTATCTATCTATCTATCTATCTATCTATCTGTCATAATATCTATTAATATCTATCTATCTATCTATCTATCTATCTATCTATCTATCTATCTATCTATCTATCGATCTGTTCTATCACACTTTGTTCATCTTTTTCAATCTCCCTCTCTTTATATATATATATATATATATATATATATATATATATATATATATATATATTTACATACATACATACATACATACATATATACATACACACACACATAAAGATATATATATATATACACACACACACGCACACACACACACACACACACACACACACACACACACACATATATATATATATATATATATATATATATATATATATATATTCTTACGCCTCAGAACACAAACACATATATAGAGGCAGAAAGATGAGGAGACAGGGACGTGCGCTTTTGTCTACACTATTTGATACTGACAATAGTCTTTATTCTCAAATATATAGGTATATTTATATATGTATATATGTAACTTTCTCCGATTTAACCAGTAGAGAAGACAATATTTATATCAACACAGATATAATGACAATATTCTCCATACGTGACGTTATGTTCAGTTATCAATATGAAAATAGCGTTTCTCTACATTCCAGTTGCTAGGAACATTCTGTTTTTTGGGTTTTTTTTTTATTAGTTACCTTGTTCAATTAAATTCATTTCGTATTTTGCTTTGATAAAGTCCACATTAGACGAAACGCGTCATCATTTACTAGTTTTCCTCTTGTCATTTTTATTCATAAATATGTATATATGTACTTCTCTCTATATACACAGACACACATACATGTGTGTGTGTTGACGTGTGTGTGTGTGTGTGTGTGTATGTATGTGTGTGTGTTTGTGTGTGTATAAATAAGTGCCGGCCACTCGTATTCGAGGATACCCATCTACTAGGGCAGCTAGTAATTCCTCATTGCAGACGCTCGCTCTGGCATATTTCTGTTTGTTCAAAACCCACAGAATCCGCCTGTGTTTTATACTGCAACTATTCTGAGCAGACCTTAGTTACGGTTTCTGGGAGAGAGCTGAGAAAAATCTGGGAGAAAAAATGCGTTCCTTCCCTGAGCTCATTTGTCATTATTCATAAAAATAAAATATACCTTAATCACACACATACACACAAACACATGCATATATATATATATATATATATATATATATATATATATATATATATAGATAGATAGATAGATAGATAGATAGATAGATAGATAGATAGATAGATTTTTTTTGTGTGTGTATAGATGAGAGAGTTTTATTAATATTCATATTTATTTCTTTCGTAGTTGTTCTCGTGGACACTTCACATTTAAAATCGATAACTCTCTATATAACTATCTATATATCTCTGTTCATATCTATCTATATATCCATCTATCAATCTATCTGTCTTAATATGTTCATCTATCTATCTATCTATCTATCTATCTATCTATCTATCTTTGTTCATCTTTGTTCAATCTCCCTCTCTATATATATATATATATATATATATATATATATATATATATATATATATATATATATATACAAGCACAGTTTTATTTACAAAACACCGTGCATTATTCGTTAATTATAATATCATTTCATATAATAAAAAAATCTCGGATTAAAAATGAAATCATTACGCATTTAGAAATACACACACACACACACACACACACATATATATATATATGAATACAGAAAAGAGAGACTGGTGTGAGACAACATATATAGAAAATGTCTATTTAAAGCAAAGATTCTTTTGTGTATATATATATATATATATATAAAAATATATATATATATATATATATATATATATATATATATATATATATATATAGTGATTTTTCAAGGTTAGTTTGGATGTGGCAGAAGGCCGAAAATCGTGGGCCCAATCAGCCTCGAACCGACTACTCAGTTGTAATTGTTTAGCGAGACAACCTTTCTAACGATTACATCGCCACGAGGTGCCTATATACACGCATATATATATATATATATATATATATATATATATATATAGAGAGAGAGAGAGAGAGAGAGAGAGAGAG